ACTCTGTCCCAGCTAAAACTAGGACAGTAGGCAAGTACAAAAGGAAACAGAGGATACAAGATAAAACTTATTCTGCATCTTTCATTGGGTTATCAGAGTGCCTGCATGAGTCTGAAGCAATCTGCTTCCTTCCTCCCGACGTAGCATCTCTGCAACTTCACTGTTACAGTAAAATTTCCAGAATAGCTGGAAGTCATTCCATGAAGGTACTGTGTACCAGTTTGTGCCAAAGGAAGAAATAAGTTCTCAAATATGTGAAAAGCATATTGGGTATCCTCTTTCCTGTATTACTGGGCTAGCATTCTTTCTCACCCAAACGTACGTACCATGTAAACTGTAGAGGTTTTTATTAAATTCAGTAGGAAACCGCTAATGATTTTCAATTGCGGTTAACAATTTGTCAAGTTAATAATGGATTTTAACAGGGCAAAACGTATCTGGAAGTCATGCTAAGCCTTCTTCTTAGACCTGGAAAAATAATGAGGGTTGCTTGTATAGTGCTTTGATGTAGATTAAATTCTATGTGTATTCAACAAAATCAATTTTTTGTATAGTACACACAGACTTCCCTTTAATCCTTTCTCAGTATTATTTAATCAGCATAAAATGTTTTCATTTTTCTTGCAGAACCATCTGCCCAGACTTTTTCATGGGACAAGAGGCTTGGAAACCTTCTAATGATTGGGCATCTTTCAGTGATTGGGTGAAAACTCGAGATTCCAGCAAAATAGACAAGTACAACCGTTATTCCTTGTCCAGCGATTTGCCATCCTTCTTTAGTAGCAGTTTTTGCCTCAGTAAAGGTGCAGAATTAGTTCCTAAGTTATGGGTGGGTCAAATATAGCTGGATGTCCACAAACAGAAATTTCATGCAGTTGATGGGTCTAGCTCATGGTTATGTGAGGGGTGCTTTTTGGAGAAAAGTAGAACTTTGAACAAAAATAAAAGCTGCCACTGTTTACCTGTGCAGATGGTACAAATGAAGTTAATGACTCAAAAAAAAAAAAAAACAACCGGCAAAGGCTAGAAGATACAGCTTGCTCCTTTCACTTTGGTTTGATTCAGTTCCTGCAGGCCAGCACAACTTCCACTGGTTTCAGATAGGGTGCAAAACGTAGCCACCAAACACTATTTAACTAGGGAAAATTAGTCCTGCTCCCTATAGATTCCAGCTAGATCAAAGCATACTACTTTGCCATTCTTCTAGCCACACTTTTTTCCATTTTTATCTGACACGTAACTTAATTGCATAATGTTATGGCTGATTTTGAAACAGTTTCAAATTTGCTTCCATAGTTTCATGAAGTATTTGTCTTCCTCATGAGAGACAGTTTAGCTATAGTCACATTTGTGATAATGGGATGCTCTTGACTGGCTGTGTGTCTCTTAAACTTTTACTTATGTTAGCCTGTAAGATAACTATTGCCATTTGTGAAATTAATTGGATTGCTGTTTATAAAATCCCCTTAGGGAGCGATCTAGGAAGACTGATGATCTCCCCTGGAGTTTCCCTTATATTTTAAAAATGAGTAATAGTACACTAGTGTTGTGGGTTGACTCCAGCCAGCAGCCAAGCACCCATATATCTGCTTGCTCACTCCCCCCAAGAGGGGTGGGGGAGAAAACAGGAGGAACAAAAGCAAGAAAAATCGTGGGTTGAGACAAAGACAGTTTAATAAGTGAAGGAAAGTGAAAAAATGTGAATGATGCAAATACAGTCACTCACTACCTCCCACAAGCAGACCAATGCCCAGCCAGTCTTTGAGCAGCAGCCACTTTGGAGGCCTGGGGAACAGAGCCAGAGCCTTACTTCTCTTTCATTTACATGTCTCAGAGAAGTTGATGTCGTCCTGAAGTATCTAAAGGAACAATGTGGTGCAAAGAAGATTGGTGTCATTGGGTTTTGCTGGGGTGGAGCAGCAGTACAACATCTGATGCTGAAAAATCCTCATTTAAAGACGGGGGTGTCCATCTATGGTAAGTCTCAAACGCCTATTATGTTGTAAACAGACATGACCAGAGCAGGAACTTACTCTGTAGGAGTATTACTGTAACAAAACTCAGTGAGACATCTTACGGAAGAATAATGTGGGTTTATGATACAAAAATCTTTAAGCAATTTGATTTTACATACTCATTCTCGCACTGGGATGATCATAGCCAGCAAGATCAATGTATTCGAGTGGCAGAGCCAGGATTGCTTCTGTGCAACACAGCGTACAAGGGACTCCAAGTGCCAAGGCCTCACTATGGCTCAGGTTCCTCTTGGCTAGTGATGACAAAATGGTTTCTGGACATATCTTTTAGGAGCCAGCAATTATTATGAGGTGGGTCTTTGCCTCAGTGTCTTGTTTTCCTCAGTCTGCATAAGCCTTAGGACAAGTTGCTGGCCACTGTGTGGTTTTCATTGTTTGGAGAACCCGTTTGACACACGTGTTTGTACCCTATTCCCCTGTTGGGCCAGCAGAAAAAGACACGGCAGCAGTGATATATGGCAAACCTTTTGCTATCCTGCTGTTAAGAGTGCGTGGTCTTTTGCATATGAGTCATCTGGGCTGGGGTCTACACAGGCTGCAGACCTTCAGGTCATGACATGAACAGCTTATTCCTCAGTGTTACTCCTGGCAGTGGCCTCTTGTTGCTAGTATGAACCATTTGTTTAACTCTCTGCTTTAACCCTTGTAATGAATGGGTTTATGCTACCTTTAATGTTTTTGTTATAAACCTCTGTACTTCTATATAACCCAGAGCAATTTATACTCATTTGAAGCGAAAAGAAGTTGAAGGTATTTTTCCAGAATGTTCATGGGGATTATTTTGCAGCAGTGATTTGCCAATCAGTTGTGACAATTCAACAATGCTACTTGCTAATGTTTTACTTTTCTGTCGTAATAATTTCAATAATGAAAAGAGTGACCAGGGTGGTAGCTAGTTAAATTTACCGTTACTTAAATGCAAAGATATTTGAATAGTAAAAATTACAATACCTATTTGTTGTGAATTTTTATCAGTGTAAATATGTGTACAATGAAATCCTAGCCATATATCTGTAATGATGAATATTTACAATTACCTTAAATATGGCCATGCCAGGCTAGAGGTGAGCAGCTCTGAAGTGTTCATCTTTCACAGGACCCTGTCTGTGACAGTGGTCAGAAGCAGATGCCCGAAGAAAACCACAAGAACGGGGCAAATGTAACAATTCTTCCCTGACTTTTTCAGAAAGAGCTGGTTTTTCTATCTTCAGTGACACCCCAAATCACAGGAAGTTCTCACAGCAAAAGGGGCTTTTTAGCAAAGGACATTTAATTCCGTTATAAGCTGATCAGCTCTAACTGATCAGAATGTCTTTTGTTTTGACTGTATAGCTTTGGTCGTGATTTAACCACTTTAAGTAGCATGAATCATTGTATGTGCCTCTCCTTCTTCCCTAGGAGTGATCAGGTTCTTTGATGACGGATCCAATTTGCTTCATCCAACTTTCTTCATTTTTGCTGAAAACGATGACCACATCCCGTTGGAGCAAGTGAGTTTCCCATCAGAGATATTTATCTTTTTTAATGTTTTTCATGCTTGTTTTGTGATTTTATATTTAATTAAGAGAAAATAAAAAGCTAATGTACACTTTTCTTCCTCTTTCACTAACTCTTACAGTAGTTCTACACAAATTTATGTTTATCCCCGAATCAAAAAGTTTTACAGTGACACTAAAAAAAGTTTTCTGGTTTTGTTGCAAAATATGGATGATTTATATACTATAGTTTCTAGGAGGAGAAGGACAAGAATCCAAAAAGGAAGACTCCTGTCAAGTTTAAGATAGGAGACCCTCTTTAATCATACTGATGGTGCATAAAATCAGCAGAAAGTCCTCAACTGTACCAGTGGAATCACTAGTTGCAGGAGAATTAAATAATTAAATAATTAAATAATTAAATAATTAAATAATTAATTTTCCTCTCCCACTGTCTGGCCGAGCTTCTCCTTTCTGGTACTCTTTCAACAGCCTTTCTGGGGAGCATAGGTGGAGAATGACTGAAGAAAGATGATTATCTACCAAAGGGATCAAAGAGGAAGGCACACTTTCACTGAGTGGTGGTGACTTTAGTTTTCCTGCCAAAAATGTCGGCTTTGAACTGTCAATTTTGTATCTGTGCCTCTTCCCACTCAATTTCAAATTAATTCAAATTCTTGCCCCCTTTTTTTTTTTTTTTTGTGAGGTCTATCAGCAGTAACTTGTACAGGGATCACTACATGCTAACCTTCTCATGACACTGAGCAATAGCTGTTTTTACCTTGACAGATATTATTATAGTAACCCATACACTTTCTTTACAGTTGTATACAGTCTCATGACGTTCTTTTACTGGAGAAAAAAGCCTAGTTAAATAAAGAAAGTGTGGTAACAGAAGCGCATTTGGGTATAAAATTAGTAGAAGACAAGACAATGGCAAGGACACCCTGTGTCAGTCTCCCAGAAAAGTAAAAAACCAGGACAACTTGAGGACTGTAAATAAGTAACATGCTAACTCTGTACTCAGGCAACATGGACCTTTGTGTGTTACAGGTCACCCTACTGGAGCAGCAGCTTAAACAAAACTGTAAAGTTGATTATGAAGTTAAAATTTACCCTGGACAGACACATGGGTTTGTACATCGTAAAAGAGAAGATATCAATCCTCAAGATAAACCTTATATTGAGGAAGGAAGAAAGGATATGATCAACTGGCTGAATAAATATCTTTAGCTTAAATAAATGCCCACAAAATAACTCAATTGTTGTAGGAAATCAGAAAGTAATATGGACTATATGGATTAAAAAGTTCTTAAAAGCATCAAATATTTTGTAGAACTCTTTTGCAGTAACACTACTTATTTGCTCTTATTTTCTAAGTAAATGCTTAGAAAAGGCTTTTCAAATGCTGAAAGCTATAAATGTAGAAAAGATTTTTAAACTCGATCTTGTGTATCTTAAAATTATTAGAATCTGATATGGAATATTTTCTAGAATCTGAAAGTTTCACTTTTTTATATTAATGTCAATATAATAAAAAATCATTGAAACTCTGCTCACGCTTGAGAAATGCTCTTCTGAAAGCCGTATTTAGAGTTGTTGAGCTGTGAGGTTTTCAGCTCTGAGATTTTCAGCTTTGAGGTTCATATGGTTCTGGTTCGGAAGGCCGGGACGTTTTCTTGGAAACGGAGTATACTATTCAGAATTCATAAAAACAGAGCTAGAAAGAGGGAAAGGGAAGGACAATGGGAAGAAACGTATGCAGACTGAAAGGGGGTCACTGGAAACCATGACTGAAGTGAGAACACTAGAGGGACATGCAGAACCGGAGAAGATGACCTGAACCAGTGGTAGAAGGATAGGACACGAAGAGACTGTGAAGCGCAGGAAAACTCAGAACAGAATGAAGCAACAAGGTAGGAACAGAGGACTACCATCAGACATACATAGAGCATAGGAAGAAAATACGAGTGAAGGCTTCCAATCCTTCTTCTCCTTCCACTTCCATACTGATCTAGTAGGGGGAGAGCTGGTGTTTCTTGTTGACTGCCACCTTGTTATTTCCTTTAGCATCTGATTATCTACTCCATGTCTATCAACTGACTTCTGGACAATATGTTTTCATATCTTTCAGGCATTACCAGTAGCCTAAAAGTGCTACCAGTGCCTTCCTTTCTTCCACAGAAAGGCTGGCCTCTGTGTTTGACCTTCTCCATTCCCTGGGGATGTCACACATCTGCATGGGCAGTCAGAACCATCATGGCTCACAGCTCACAGAGGTGTTTAAACCCCCTGAGGTGAATTTCAAACCTGCACACCTCTAGTTATTCTGTTTTAATTTTTCTTCCTCCTCTGTAGACTTGTACTTCTGTTTCCACCATATTACAAATTTCATTCAGAATATGGTTAAAATTAACTTTTGTGAAGATAGAACCAAACAGCTCTGGACACTTCAGTCTTTGCCAGGCTTTCTGGTATTAGTTCTCCTTCCTGCTAGTAGCCAGCACTTTCTTTTTGCCCTTCTCTCATTTTTGACGCATTTGCAAATACTTTTATTACAAGTTCTGTGTCACTCGATAGCAGTAAGGTACGCTGCTGCCTTAGCCTTTCTACGGGGTGTGTTGCTCCTTTATTCTTGTCCTCGGATGCATGCCTGTGTTCCCCCTCCTTGGAAGCCTCATATTTGATTCTGAAACACTTGCAGGCATCTGGATGCAGCTGCAATGGCCTCTTGCTATGCTGTCTGCCTTCCTCCGCATCAGGATCATCTGACATGTAATAACATCTTTTCACCGAGCACCAGTGTCCTCTGCTCCTTTCTCCCTCACAGCATTTTCATCACAATCCCCAGCACCAGCTGAGTTTCTGATGCTGCTCCTTCCTTTTGATAGGGCGATAGGTATAGGAGTAGGCATAAGACCATATAAAACTATATTAGCTGTTATTTCTATGGATAGGTATAAGAATAGGCATAAGACTACATAAGACTGTGAAATACGTAGCTCTGTGAAATAGCTCTGTGAAATGTTAGAAGTTACCAAATACTAATCCCTGCTTTGAAACACTGACTACCCAAAAAGAAGGCCGGTAAGAGAGACAAAATAAATGCTAGCAAGGTTGTAACTCGAGACCCGTAGGGAGAAAGACAGACAGATAGGAGAGACAAGGACTAACAAGAACTAACATTTGTCTTCAAACAATAACAAGTAGGAGACAACCAGATGTCCACTCAAGGACAGGACAGGCTGGGAACCAGTTTGGCTCTGCAAGCTCAGCCAAAACAGGAATTCTAGGGAAGAAGTGAAACATACACAGTGAGGAAGACCTACGGCCTTCATCCCAAAGACCCCTGCCCACCACCACCAGGAGGCGTGTCGAGGAGGAGCCTGAGGCGGATCCTGAGGCAGGGGCTGTGGAAATGATCTCCTGGGAGAGACTGCCCTTTTGGGGAGGGGGTTATGAGTATGTCTGTATAAATACAAGAAAACTGCTACGGCAGGTGTGCACGTTTGTGGTGGAGCGATCCCCCGTGCACCCAGCGCTGCAATAAACATACACACTTTACAACTTTCTGAGTTGCGGAGACTGTTTCCGCACATCACTTTTTTTCAGGAAAGTGCATTGCATCATTTCACAATCAGCTTGACGCAAATCCTCTGCCATGTCTCATGGTCTCAGGCAGTTGCTCTGCCCCTCGACCCTGATTCAGAGTTGAATCTAAATCAACCTGGATGACAACTTTACCTCCTCACCTCCACAAATCTTTCCAATACTGCCAGGTTTCTTTCTGCTGTGATTTAATCAGGTATCAGAATTGGCACAGCCCATTCCTAGTGACTAAAAGAACATCACTGTGTTTCTACTCCTTTGATCCCTCTCAGTGTAATTCACAGAAACCTTGTGATGAGGTCTCATTTGCATCTGCGATGCTGGGGGAATAGATGTGACTAAAATATTGTGCTGAACATGGCCCAGTTTCCCCTCAATGAGTTACATGTGAGCCCAGGGAGCCCTCAGCTTTCACAGAATATTGCCCTCCAAGGTGCAGCCCCTCAGTTGTTTCCATTGCCCCATAGAATTTTACTTTTTGCAGTCACCTCTGCCAGCCGTGCCTGGTAGTTCCCTCACCCAGTCACCCATGCTGTTTGATTTCAGGAACCTGTTCTCAGTGAGTCTAGTCAGCTCAGGGAAAGCCTCTTCAGGTCTGCAGGGTGTCGTTGCCATGAGTCATGCTGGCAAAAATAGTCCCTTCACATCAGAGGTGAGAAGTTCCATGATGCCCTCCCTGATTCTGTGCTTAGGCTGGATCTGTGCGGCTTCCCCGTGACGTACAGAGGGAGGGAAGGGCTGTACAGTGACTTCTGTGCTTCCTGCCAGTCCTGACATGGTTCTGGGCTCAGCGTACAGAGGAGAAACAGTTTCACGTGGGAGAACTGCAGACGCCTCTGTTCACTGGTGCCGGCACATCTGACTTGTGTGCCTGTGTGGCTCTGGGGCAATGGAAGGATAACAACGCACAAACCTTCCCCGAAGAAAGCAACGTGGGTTTGTGATTCAGAGAGATGGTCTGTAAAGTGTAAATTCAATTCCCAGCTGTGGATCCATGCCCAATTTATCAGAGTTGCTATGAGAGCAGACAGAGATGATGAAATTGAACTCCCTACAACTATTGTCTCACATGGATTTTAAATAAAAGAGCCTTGGTTTCTCGGAAGGTAATATCTTGGCTGGCAAACCATTCCAGCTTGTTTTTTTATGTGAATGAACAGATGTCTCAGGAAATCAGGCTAAGCTTTGCCAAATTGCTCCTGAGACAGGGGAAGGCTGTGAAACTGAAGAGTATTTTGTCAAAATTCGTTGTCCTTGGAGAATTCAGAGTCGCTTGCTGTAGGACCGGTATTGCATTTCATTATGTTTTTTGTTTTGTAGAAATATGACATCTAAGATGGAAAACAGAATTTTGCCAGTGTTAATATTTCCTTTGCTAAAATCCCTACATGCCCATTCTCAAAACTTGCATTTGAGAATACCTTTTGTGTCTAGAGAGCACTGACATCTAGGCATATAGGCTGGACATTACAAACTCAGGTCCGTAATGTTCAGTTCTGCCGAACGTAGCAGCCTTGATACAAGGTTAATTAGCTGCAGAATAGAAACCAGGGTAGACATCGCAGACATACATAAGGCCTCATCAGGGAACCTTATGCAGATGCTTTTGTTCCCCTGGGCATTGTGCTGTCTTGTCAGTTCCTTCCCAGTGACTTTAGAGCACTTTGATCAGTTCCAAACAAGTCTGACAAAACAGTCAAATCTGACAAAACAGTCCTTGGTACTATTTAGTTCTACATTTCTAGAAAATCTGGATGGCACAGAGGAGACAGACTTGCTGCACTGAGCAAAACAGCGTGGTGTGGATTTATCAGTTCTTTTTATTATTCATGCTGCCTGCTGGCCGGTCAGCACACAGAAATCCTGGACCACTTGTGTAGGGGTTGTCAGAGGATGCAGGAGAGAATGGACTAAGGAAATGTTGGGATCAAACGAGATGCAGGGGAGCAGCAGGGCAGAGGGTATGGGCTGAGGGTAAGCCCAGGGATATGAGGAACTGAGATCCTATTGGAGACAATCACGTGGTACGTGGACGAAATGGAAGGGAGAACCTAGAAGAGCTCTAATCTCACCTTTTGTAGACTGAGTGGGATTTTGGTCACTGAGAAAGTGTTATACTGAGGAAGGCTCGTGGCCTGCATGCGAGGAGTACTTGGTGCCTGGGTGAAGAAAGTCACATGGACTAAAGTGAAAGAGGTGTCCTGGAGGAAAACTTCAGGGACTGGAGATAAATAAGACAGCAGAACATGGTGGAGATCAGAGTCCTGAAGAAGAAGGGCACGTATTTTGTCTTCCACTCATAATATCCTCTTCACAAGAAGATTGAGGTCCTCAATATCAAAGAAAATACTGGAACACAGCTTTAATATGAACCACAGGATCCTTTGCCTTCTTGGAAGCTGAATTCAAGGTCCTGATTTTTGTTCTATAGCACAAGAATTTTGGAAGCATCTGATATCTTTAATCAGTTTAATATTACACAGGCTTAACTTTCAGTTCTTCTTCATTAGCTTACTTTTTTTTTTGCACATTGAGTGGGAGCTCTTTTATGGGATTTCACTTTAATCTTTATGGCAACAAATTTTAATCAACTTGATGACTCTGACTTTGCTCCATTTTCTGCATGCCTTTCTGTCAAGTTAGTATTTTTTGTTTGTTTGTTTGTTTGTTTTTTAATGTGATGTTTAAAATTTATAGTCAGTATTTCATCTTAATATTTTTTTTCA